ATTAGAAAGTAAAATGTACTAGAATATAAATTCCTTTTAACCATATTTATCTAAGGTGAAATGCTTAAGACTAATGAAGGTATGTATAATTACCGATCTGTGCAAGTGAAACGTGCGGTGCTGTTTGCTCATAAAGGTCGTCAAATTACCAGAAAACAGTAATGCCATACCATTACGGCGACAAAGTAGACCAAGCAACATATAAAATTTTGCAAACACCAATAAGCAGAAAATCGGTCATTTTGGCAGGAAATCGACAAAAATTAATGAGTAAATAGACACCAAAATGGATGAGCCGAATCAAATAAGAAAAAAGTTTGATCCAGTCCGCAAACCCCAGCTGCCAGAAGAATAGAAAGAAAAAGTCGAATGTTATATGAAAAGAAATTATCGAAGAGGATGTTCCATATGATAAGATAGTTTGACTCAAACCATTGAAGCGAGGATAATTGTGGAAATGGTATTGGCCATAGTAGAGCCAAAACGACAATCTGATCGAAATGTGTTGGATGAAATGAAGCCAACACTTAAAATGTATCCAAATATAAAAGAAATACAATACTCGGTAATGTCTGGATTTAAGACAATACTGTCAGTAATTGGCGGAAAGTGGCTCTTAACGGCACATAAAGTACATAAAGGGCGCTTGAATGGCATACTAAATGTTTTGCGAAGTAGTTACTGCACGCCTCTCTTGAACAGGCGGTTTATATGTGTATCTATTTTTTGTTTGTTTGTACTATAATAAAATGTACATACATATGTACCTACAATCTGTAATTCATGTTACTGTAAAATATTTTGAATTTGTAACACACAAAAAAAAATAATATTTATTATTAAGTATTTTTACTGATTTCTACTAATATTGACAAATCTAAGCAAATGTCATAATTTGTGAAAGGTATTGCCAAAACATTATACATACATACATACTATCTTAAACTTAAACACATTCCAATAAATAAACAAATAGTTAAACAAAATATAACCGACATCAATCGGTTAACATGATCAAAAGTTATGTACACCTACTGTTTATGTGTTCATAATAAATAAATACCCGGTTGACCGAGCTTTGCCCGGAGCGCATATACTTTTTAAAGTTTTCAAGGTTTGGATACCAAATACTGGTCATTTGGATAGCTTTAAAAAATAATTTTGAAATAAACAAAAAAAATTTGGATTTCGATATCTATTAAGTAATTTTCTTACTCCAAAATTTAGTTGGCAACATAATATGCCGAAGTACATATCTTGAGCGTATATGTACTGTGTATACCTAAAAAAAAAAATCTGATTGAGATTAATAAAATAAAAATTGGTATTACATGGAAGCTTGGCAACCCGGATCGAAAATATTTTCTGCCCAAAGTCCTCAACAATACCTTTAATTTGATATCCATATTGTGATATTTTAGATAAGTCGTGTAGAATCAATAATAAGTGGCAACCACACACTACTATAATAAGGGATACCATTTTGTATACAGGTAAAGCATTGTTTAGGAACCTTCTCTTGGTACCTATGAATAGTAGTATTTTACCTTCTTTTTTTTTAAACAAAAAATATACCTTCCATTTGATGCCCATATTATGATGCTTTAATTAATTTGTAACTAAGTTCGAATAGGTGGCAACCTTGTAGGAGTCTTCTATCACTAATTCCATGTGAATAAATTGTTAACACGATTTTACAAGCAAAACAAAAACAAATAGGGAAACATTGTTTTTGTTTTACTTTATAAGTTTTGGGAAAAATTGTTCACATGGAGTTCCTGATAGGGCCGAATGACTATTCAGATAACCTTAGAATCCAAAACATTATCTGTGTACAAAATTTCATCCAAATTGTTAGAGCCATATATATTAGGCTGCATCACCAAAAAAAAAAAATTCGGAAAAATATTAAGATTTACGTGTGCTGGACCGGTTTGAAAATACCTCCAAAAATGGAGTTTTCTATGAACAGAAATAGTTTCTTAAATAACTTTTTGGAAAAAATCCCATCAGATAACAAAACAGATTAGGATTAAAAAATCTGCATAAAAATATTTAAAAATATTTTCAACGGAATCATAATAATGAGCTTGTTGATGCTGTTTTTGACTTTTTTCAAAGATTGCTTTACGAAAAACTTAAATAACTGGGCCAAACCTATTCTATTTGAGACTTATGGGATCTCGGTAGAAAGGTATTTTCCCACTATTCTTATTTATGTGCAAAAAAAGTAATTTGTGTCCCAATTTATTTATTTATTTTTTCAAATACCAACACATCTTAATTCAACTTTGAATGACTTTCGTTCATCCTATCTTTCTCTTTCATCCTATTAGCAAAGAAATAAAAAGGGTGAGAAAATACCGTTCCACCGACACCTCTTAAGCCTAAATCAGAAGAGTTTTTAAAGTTAAAAAACAGCATCAAAAATCTCAACATTACGATTCCGTTAAATATTTTATTTAAATTTTTTTTAAATATTTTTATGCAAATTTTTTAAGCTTAAACCGTTTTGTCATTTGAGGAAATTTTCCAAAACAAAAATCTTTAAGAAACTATTTTTATTCATAAAAAACTGCTTATTTTTTAAATCTATATTCGCTATTTTCAAAACCGACTATAGAGGGATAATTCAGGCCAAGGATGGCCAAACTCAAAACCGCTGACGCAGTTTTTAAGACAATTCAACAAAGTTGCTTTCAATTGACTTACCCTGTGCATTAGGGTCGCCCTTAAAATATGAGCATCATGGGGCACCCCTTTATTTTGTTCTACGTACAAAATGAAAACATCTACGAAATTTAAATGTGTAGAGTTTTCCTAAATTTTGTATAAAACTAGAAACTCTGATTTATATGGTTTTGGTTAAAGCTAAGACAATATTTTTATAGAAAAATAACCAAAAAAAAATTACTTGGAAAACATTGTGAACATTTATTTCCGGAAACACTGGGTTTGAAAAACAAATCTATTTTTTTCAAATCACAAAAATTCGAAAAAGTTTTGACTTTGGCCAGCTATAACTCAGTTTATGAATTTATAAAATAAGTTTCAATAATAAAATAGGTATGTGCTCAGATTTCATAAAAATATGAGCATCAAATTGTATTTCGATTTAATTTTATGTTTTTGAGTGCATTTGAAATATTTAAGTGCAAATAACTTAAATTAATACAGCAAAGACTCGTTATCATAAAAACACCAAACCTGTCGCCAATTCTGTTTAGAAATTTCCTAAGGTGTGTTGCTTATTGGGGTCATTTAACAGTTAACTCGTTTACTTAATGCACTAAATGGTAAAAGAGAACTAGTTTTTTGTGTCACTCTTGGTGAGTAGGAAATAAATTACTCATATTTTGAAAATACATATATTATAAATCAATTTTATCTTGATGCATAAAAATTTACCTACAATGCAAATTAAACCCATACATGTAAACATTTAAAATTTTTATTTTATTATTTAACTTAGCTCAACCCCATAAATTCATATACAAGAACGAAGTTAATTTGGTTATCATAATTTGCAAGCTCATCCAACAAGTATGTACGTATGTATGTATACATGCTTGCACATTAAACAAAAAAAAGTACCTATTTGATTTTATTTGGATCTTGTATACAAAGTAAAGACGCTCGTAAATATGCGTTTAAAACAATTTTTAATTGTACAAAAATGAGCACTTTAAACTTGCTACGTGCCATCTAGGCGTTTATTTTTCATCTTCGTAGAGCATTCAAATTATCTTCGATAATTGGCAAACTGCCATTTTATTTGTAAACCGACATCAGCCATATTTTAACAATAGTAGAATTCAGCAACGACCCTTTTACTAGGCGTCACAGTAAAAATCAAAAAGAACCGCTTTGGTAGGAGTTAAAAGGTTAGAATATTCAATAAAAATCGTTGCTGAATTCCACTATATATAGGCCTTCATATAGAAGTTATGATTTGACGTCGGCTTATACATAAAATGGCGTATTGGATACCAACGCTTTGGAATAAATAGTTTGGAAATTTTAAACT